CTTTTGGGTAGTAAAAGGGGAAAGAACCAACTTGATTATTTAAAAATACTAGTTCAGGCTATGAAATTGTAGTCAGTATGCTAATACTTAAATTGACTGCATTTCTTACTCAGCTTTCAGTGGGCAGATTTTTTTTGCCTATAGTATAAAATGGCCACCCTTTCTGTCCTCAGTGGCTGTGAAATTGAGATTTAGGAAGGAAAGTAGGGAATTTGTTTTTTGTTACTGCAGTAAAATTAGAGTTTGCATGTAACTAAATACCTTTTGATTGCATTACTAAACAGCTTTGTTAATGTTAATCAGTTTCGAATTAGAGGCAGAGGAAGAGCCAGAGGAGTTTTTGCTGGGACAAATACTGGTCCAAACAACTCAAATACTACTTTTCAAAAGAGACCGAAGGAAGAGGAATGGGATCCAGAATATACCCCAAAGAGCAAGAAGTACTTCTTGGTGGGTGTTAGAAATCTGTGTTTATTTGGTTTGCATTAATTTTCAAAGCATACTGGGTGAATACATTTGAGTACAGGTATCCACTACTATGAGGAGTTTTTGCCATAATTTAGGAAACCTTTTAAAAATTCACTACCCAGATGATTTGAAGTTTCGAAAATGTGGGTCCCTTTAGTCCTGTTTATATTTTATTGATGTCACCTATAGGCTGATCAGGGTAAACTAAAACTATACCTGATTTGATAGCCACATTCAGAGAACATTAACATAGGTTTCACATCTGTCTATAAGACAATGACAGTTGTAGAAACATCTCATTAAGATTTATCTTCCATCATCACAGCTATTTGTTTAAATGAAAGACAGAAGAATTCTTTCACAGAACATGTAATTAAGGATCTCAGGGAGGCTGTGTACTTCCTCTGGAATAAAAGGAGGATGAAAAATTCCATATGGAAAGTTGCTGGCTACACTAATTTGATGCTTCTTTGTGATACTTTTTCCTCTGAAGTAGTTTTCTAAGGGGTGAAACTAGAGGAGGTGGGTCCTGAAAGAGTTTCTAGGTAAAGATGGAGATTTTCTGTAGTTTGGCATGGGAGAAAAGGGTCCATCCAGCATTACAGACACTTAGGAAAATACCAGAACTATTACCAGAAGTATTTATTTCTTAAATAGCTTTTCAGAGATCAGTTCTGAAGATTAGTTGTTTTGCAGAAGCAAGGAGGAAGATAGTACTAGATTTATAGAATTGTGTCTTTCATTTAGTTTTTTATGAATATATTTGAATACACCTGAATACCCATGACCTGTCTGCTAAGTGAGAGGGGAGAGCTAAATGATGAAGTAGACCTATGTTGTTTGAAGAATGGGCAATCAAAAATTAGCTTCTGTTTGATTCTTTTGAGTAGTTTAATGAACAAAGTCCGAAAAAGTTTTTAAAGGGTATTAATGCATACTGTTTGCTCAACATATGCTCCCCTAAGAGGAAATTTATACTTGTTTGAATTGCTTGAGTTGACAACGTGGACAGTAAAAGGCACTTTATTCAGTTATAGGAAAGTTTAAAAGATCTATCTTGTTTTTGATTTTCAGACTTTATATTCACAAACTGCTCTTTATACTAGGTACCATGAATGCAAAGACATGTATCATTTCTTGGCTGGAAAAATTTAGAAACAAAAGTTCTAAATACATGTGTAGTGGATTTCATCCAAGGCAGGAAATGGAGGATTATTTCAAACAGAGTGATTAGGCGAGCCTTCATAGAGGAACTGGGATTGAATCTTGAGCTTAAAAAATAGGTATACTGCAGATTGTAGGCGTGAAACATCCTGAGATAGAACTCTTTGGCTAGGTGGTTGGTGTAAGTTTGGTAAAATTAAGAAAAAGCAGAAACCAAGTTGTGGGAGGCTGTATCTAAATAAATACGGATTTTAACCAGAGTTTAGAAAAATCATGGTTGTACAGACCGATCTGAAGAGTTACTGAGTGTCTGGACTAAGAGGCTAGGTAATGGAAAAGTTAAAGTAATATTAATGAAGACTTACTCAGGGATCTTGTATGTAGTTGGGTATTGGTAGTAAGATGAAGGGATCTCTCTAGGATAGGGAATACAAGGGAAAGGATCCCATTTGAGAAGATTAAGTTCTGTTCTTGAGGTGCCTGGGAGAAATTAAGTGCAGATGTGCAATGGAAAGTTGCTAATGCGAATCTAGAGGAAAAAAAATTTAGGAGCCATCATCTTCCAGGACACAATTAAAGCCCTGTTAAGATCACCCAGTCAGAAGAGATTAAAAGGCCACCCTGTTGAAGGTCGGGCGAGCAGTGGGTGAGTGATAGTAAAAATATCACACTGTTAAAAAAAAAAAAAAAAGCCAGAGAAGTAGACCAAATGTTATAGGTCAAAAGATTAAGAGGGAAATGAGAGGTGGACAAGTAGATACTAATTAATACTTTGAATCCTTTACAAATACTTAATTTAGGCCACACCTTCATTTTTCTATGGCATACTTTTAGAATCCGATGTAATTTTTTCTTGTAATGGGACATACCATTTTAGTTTGGCATTTAGGTAGTAGTTTTACTAATTAAGAAGAATGTTATTTTAAGATTTTAGAACTTAGAAGTAGTAAATAACATTTTATGTGTTGCTATTTTGGGCTGTATTTAAAAACCTTCATTTCTATATAAAACATACACTTGGATTTGTCACAGACTAATGTTCACCAGAAGTAACTTTTTTTTTTTTTTTATGTTTTATTTATTTTTGAGACAGAGACAGAGCATGAACAGGGGAGGGGCAGAGAGAGAGGGAGACACAGAATATGAAACAGGCTCCAGGCTCTGAGCCGTCAGCACAGAGCCCGACGCGGGGCTTGAACTCACGGACCGTGAGATCATGACCTGAGCTGAAGTCGGACGCTTAACTGACTGAGCCACCCAGGCGCCCCAGAAGTAACATTTTTTTTAAGCTTTTAAATTTTATTTAATTTGAGAGAGTGCACGCATGCGCAGTGGGTGGGGGATGGAGGGACGGAGCAGAGGGTTAGAGAATCCCAAGCAGGCTCCTTGCTGTCAGCACAGAGCCCAGTGTGGGGCTCCGTCTTAAGCTGAAATCAAGAGGTGGATGCTTAACTGACTGAGCTGTCCAGGCACCCCCAAATTAATATGTTAATACATTTTTTTTTCTTACAAATCAATTCCCAGAGTTAATTATTTTAGTTCTTAATGAACCATTGAAATGACAGCTCTGGTTTTTACATGGATTTTTAAATTTGAAAGATTTTGCTTCTTTTGCAAATATATTTTATAGACCGCTATTGTTGAGACTAGAAATGTAAACAAAAATATTCATAAGAAATGAGGTTGAAAACTTTTAGATGTTCTCCTAAGAATAATTGACGAACATGGAACTTTTGACTATATATATACACACACGTATATATAACATATATATACGTGTGTGTATATATATATATATATATATATACACACACACACATATGTATACACACATATATACACACAGACACACACATATATATTTTTTTAAGTTTATCATTTTGAGGGAGCAAGAGAGAGAGTGTATGCATGCGTGCAAGCAGGGAAGGGGCAGAGAGGGTGAGACAAAAACCCAAGCAGGCTCAGCGCTGCCAGTACAGAGCCCAACATGGGACCAAACCCAGGAACTGCGAGATCAGGACCCGAGCCGGGATCAAAAGTCAGACGCTTAATGGACTGAGCTGCCCAGGCAACCTGCTTATGCCCATATTAATGAAACATTAATACTTACTAGTAATAATAATAGTATTTATTGAGCATATGCACTGTGCTAGGTTCCTGTTTTACATGTATAAATTTATTTTGTGCTTACAAAAAATCATTTCGAGGGGAGTCCTTTATTCTACTTTTATAGATGAAAAACATTGGGGTATACAGATTAAGCAGCTTGACCATGGCTAGTAGAATAGGACTTTGGATTTGAACCCATGCCTTGGGCTCCAGAACTAGGGTTCTGAAAGCACCCTACCGTTCTTTCTCCAATATTGAGTAATAGTAACATTTGTTGTATTCTTTTCTGAAAATTCTCATCTCAACACTTGGATTTATGCAAAGATATGGTGATGTTTTCAATAACAAGTAGGAAAGATAGTCTATCTTAGAACCTGAAATTCTGTGGAGGGGTGAGTATGTGAAGAGTTGGAGCAAGTAGGAAAGTACTGGAGTGGATAGGTTCTCAGTGTAGAGTTGATGTCTTCTGAGGAAGAGAAAATCTCTGGTGGGGAAGGAGTTTCAGGGTAGGAGTTTTAATCAGTTAGCCCTTTGAAACATGATCATTCTGTGGAGAAGAGATAAGAGGATTCAGGAGGTTTTGTTCTAATATGGCCTCCTTTGTTAATGTGTTTTTGTGCATTACAAATAATTTCTCTGGTCCTTTATCATGTGAAGTGATTCATTTTAAAAAATTGTAGTAGGACTAATATCTTAGAAGTTAGAACTTGAAGATTAAGAGTTAGTTTGCTTAGCATTAAAATGTCCCCTAGCTGCCAGAATACTCTGAAAAATACAATCTTTTAGCTGCTGTTGGGTATTTAAAGGTGATGGCTTGTTTAACTTTAGTGCCTAGCTTTGCCTCTGCTTTTTCTATTTCTGTAGCTGTTAGTTGCCTTATATGGAAATCATTTACTGCCACCAGATACTTGGGAAATGTATACTGTGGGTGATGGCTGAAGGAGTAGTGGAGAGAACTAGTTCTGTGACCTTGGGCAAGTAGCTCAGTTTTGCTGTGCCTCAGTTTCTTTAGATCTAAAGTAGGATTAGTTAACAATATTTTATAGGGTTGTTTGAGGATGAGAGGAGTAAATACGTGGAAAGTGCTCAGAACAATGTCTTACCCTTAGTAAGCATTATTAATACCACTCTTTGCTTGCTTGTCATACACTGGGATGGGCACTTTTTATAGATCATCTGTGTGACTTCATGGTTATCTCCCAGTTTTTAAAATGAGAACGTAAAGTCACAGCTTCTGTTTAGATTTAAACATGCCTCTGACTCTCAAAACCTGTTTGCTTCTTCCCACAAATGAGTGGAATACTGTGTAAATGCCGCAAACACAAACTCTTAAGTGGTGGTTTGTGCCAATACCAAAAGGGAACCTGAAGTTACGTAGTTGTGTGGGTATCATTTTGAGTGAGAGAATATTTTAAAATACTTTATTTCAGGTTTGTAATTAAACTTTCTGACATTCTGAAATCTACACTTTTGATAGTTCCTCAACTCGCTCTTTTTGGAGTCATACACACCTCTAGCTTGTCATTTTTCATCAGCTTGTTAAAGATAGAGGATTAGAAATTGGTAAGTGCTCTTTTGCTTTGTGTGTTACTTGTGTAACTGAGCTTTGCAAGTCATGCCAGGAGGGTGATCTGTATTACACGAATATGCACAAAGGCACAGTCTGTGTTTTGAAAAAGGTGCTTATACCACATAATACTCGAGAAAAAGCTTTGATGACTTTTGGACAGCTGGTCAATACCAGTACTTCACAGGTTATGGAACATTGTTTGCATTATACCCAGTATCTTATTAAGGGGCATCATTTTGCCTCTTTCTCCATTTTTGTAGGTGACAGACTTGAGAGTTTGAGGTGGGCAACAATTAATTGAATTATATTACAGGTGAACTTTGGCTTTTTGTTTGGTATTTTGCGATAATACTCCTCTACTTATCCACAAAGTGAAGGGCTTTTCAGTTTGTAGATTGTGTTTGATTAATGGAACAATTTGTAATTTGGGGAATATCTGTATTGGGGTAGAGTTAATGAAAAATTAATGTTCAAATGTAATACAAAACTGTAGTACTATGTTGGTGAAGAAGAAATAAGTTATTACTCTAGGGACCATGCTGTCATGATTTAGCATGTGAAATTCTCTAGCCTAGAAGATTGATGTGCCATATACATTGATTTAGATTTAAATCTCTGTAGGATTTTAAAATCTGTTCCTACATGTATGGTATAATTCATATCGTTTATTTTATTTAATAAGTGTTGCATAACATTTTTGTGACTGTTACGTCTTTATGACTGGTAGTTTTGGGGGAAAATAAAGGTTATTTTATCTCATTTGCATGCAGTATATTAACAAGTGGACTTAGATTGAAATAATGGAAAGCAAAAAAGTCAAAACTATGAAAGTTGGCAGTAATTTAGCAGTTGAGGTTCTCCAAAAAATTGTCTGGACAGTTTGCAGTGCTTGGGTTATAAAGCAGTAAGATGTATTTACTTGATTTCACAATGGAATACATTTTTACTGTAAAATTCAGTGTTACTGGCTTTGGTTTAATGTGTTTTAGACATTTACCAATGTCCCATACCCCAGTCTTCAGAAGATTTATACCATGACTTAATGGGGCTATAATCATTTTACTTACAAGAAAGACATTTTAGTGATGATTGTTTTTAACCTCTCTGTAGCATGATGACAGAGATGATGGTGTGGATTATTGGGCCAAAAGAGGAAGAGGTCGTGGTACTTTTCAACGTGGCAGAGGGCGCTTTAACTTCAAAAAATCAGGTAGCAGTCCAAAATGGACTCATGACAAATACCAAGGGGACGGGATTGTTGAAGATGAAGAAGAGACCATGGAAAATAATGAAGAAAAGAAGGACAGACGCAAAGAAGAAAAGGTAGAAAATTTCATCTTGTTAGTGATTCTAATGGATTTTCTTCATTATGGGTTTGGTGGGCCAGTTAGTTCATTATTTCATTTTTAGGAACAATGATTATTACGGATCATTTTCACTCCACATTTTTGCTAATCTTTATTTTCTCTTTGTGTTTTTAGGAATAGTAAATCTGAACTGAGATTGCAACAGAGAGCAGAACTTGCACCCACCATTTTTTTACCTGATTTTTGTTTTCAAATAAGAATGTAAGCATTTTACTTAAATTTTACTGTTTGCAAGTAGTCAGTAGAAATTTTGTTTTAAGTCTTCAAATATCTTGAAAAATAGTAGACTGTATGTTGAAAATTGTACTGAAATAAAGTAGAAAATTGTTACGTACCATATTTGTAACTATCAACTTTTAAAAAAATACTTTTACTGTTTTTGTTACATGCATTGTAATTCGCTTTGTCTATAAGATATGGTCAAGTACAGCTCTGTGAAAGTTCTGATTCTCTTCCTTCCCTGTTTGTTAATGTTTATTCTGAAGTAAACGTTAGCTCTACATACAAATCCCTGGACAGAAGTTGTTTATAGAGACCACACTAATTATTTTAACTATATACATCTGTTTAATATTCTCCTTAATTCAAACACACTACATTGTAGGGTGACTAATTTTTGAGGTGTACCACAGAAAAGGTTCTTACTTTGGCAAACTAAGCTAATTTAACACGTCAGCAAATGTTTAAAAAGAGAAAAAAGCTTTATCAATAGTTAAAAAGTACAAGCTATTAAAAGATTGAAAATTACAAGAAAAAAAAATTTTTTTTTTTAATTGAAAGCAAGCAGTGGCCTATAAAACCATTCTTAGGAGCCTTTACTTTTGCGGCTGAAAATTCAATGTTTTTTCTATTCTTATTTGAAAGTTTGAGTCATGGTCTTAGATATCAGCTAATCTTTAAGAGAGGAACTGGTCTGTAATAATACAGATGAAAAAATCCATTCTTAGTGATCATCTTTAAGAAACAGAACAAAACCTGTAATCCTGGTGTTGGTATGGAAGAGGATTATCCTGCAGAATAAGTTGATACATTAAAAAGATGTACCTGATTTCATATCTTACATATTTATTTGAGCTTTTGGACAGCTGAAACATTAGTTTGTAGTCTAACCATAAGGAAAAATAGGCAAAAAACCCATTATGTTAATTAGTATTTTAAGTAACTTGTTTTTCAATAAAAAGTTTTGACAGGAAGTTTGTTGCAGCATTGGTCTAACTTGGTTTTTACTTTTTCCCTATTTTTAGTTGCAGTTTATAAAATGGCTTTTTCTTTTTCTTCCCAAGGGTTCTATTCTTCAGGTAGATAATCTTTCAGATGTGGATTATCTTTTTGTTTGTTGATGCTGATAGCTCTTAAGATGAAAACTCAAAATAGTAAATTTCACTGTCAAGTCTCTGTCAGTGACCATCTGTAAAAGTAGTCAAATTTCATTTGTTAATTCAGGAACCAAGTTAGTTGTATATGTTTGCATTAAAAGCAGGAAATGCTTGTTCTGTTAAGTGTAAACTTTTTCAAAGATCTTAATATATGGATCTTTCATCCTTCGTGATTTGCAGTGCTCCTAGCACCTTGATTGCAGCCAAAGGCATTTGCTAAGAACTGTAAGGGAAAAATAAGAAAACAAAATTCAATATACATGATGTTTATGGCCCTAGGACCCTTAGTATTGCATGATTTCTCCTATTAATTTTGTCTTTTCTGAAATCATTAAAGCAGAGGAAATACTGTCAAAGCAAGTTTGTTGTTATGTTAGTCAGGACACAGCTAATCTCCTAGTCAGAAGAATACTTAATTACATGCGAAAGCAACATGGATTTAATCTTCAACACAAGAATTTTCATAACCATTTTATTTTATACAAATAAACTTAGCTTTTATTTTAAGTTATTATTTGGTTAGATACTGGATCTCTGTGCATGACTATAAATGTGCAGTTTTGTTTTTCCACTTAAGACAATAGGAAAAAGGGAATTTGCTGAGAAATTATTTAATAGGGAGTGGGAATAAACCTACCCAAATTCTATCAGCAGGTTATATTTTAAGTGCAAATGTGCTGATTTAACCCAAATAGATACATGATTCGGTTACTTTTATTCTATTACACAAAATTGAGGAAAGAGGATTATACCAGAATTTAGTAAGAAGGGTGATAGAACTCTGCAGTAGGATGCCATTGTGGATGTTCTCTTTTTCAGAGCCAAACATATGAAAAGCCTATGTTGTGTTAAGCCACATTTAACTCCACACTTCATAACCTGTTACAAAGCTGAATGGTAAGGGTATTTGTTTACAAATGACAGAAAATAACTCTTTGATACCTGCATTAACAGACTTCCTTTTGCCTAGAGAAGGAAAATAAAAATGAACCAAAGGATATTTCCAGAAAGGATTAAGAAACCTGTTTAAGAAGGCCATGACTCAGTCTTTAGGTGTGTATACCTTTCAACATTCTAGGAATTTTAATATAAAATAGCAAAATATGTTTTTCCAATTGCAGCCTACTTTAAGGAATTAACTATTGTTCCCTTTTGTCACAGTTAAAATCAAGTGTTGGGAATTAAATTATAATTTGAGTAAAAATACTACCCAATACGAACGAATGTAGATGGCTAAACGATTCTTACTCAGTGTGTTGTATATTGCAACAGGGACCCTTGTAAATTGTCATATGCCAATAAAATGTCATAAGTGGTAATAGCCGTTGTTTGTTTACCTGATTTTGAGACTATTTCTGTGTCTGATCTATACAGCTGATTTCTGTGACCTATTTATAGATTTTTGAATACCAACTCCTCTGTTAGTAAAATTACTGGTATGCTATGGCTTTTTTGGGGGGTTGATACATACTTCACAAAACTCAAACCCCATATACTGTTATTTTTTTGTTTTCCCTGGTAATTCCAAGCTGTTATTAGAGAATACAGGAATTCCAGATTTCTAGTCTAGTTCTCCTGTTCTTGTGTTAATACAAGAACTTGCCAGCCATAATATTATGGAGAATCAGCATTACTTCTCTTTTTAAAAACTATAGTAGTCCATTAACAACTAAAAAGAGGTTGGATTTTGTTTTGTTAGACTATAATTTTGTGTAAAATTTGGTGTAATTCTCACCATGACCCTTTTAACAAAGTGGACCATCTGTCAACTTGAAAAAAAAGCATTTTTCACAGACATTTGTGTGCTAAGACCTATAGTATATATTTTGACTAATAATATATTAGGAGGCAATTGGAGAAAAAAAGTTTATTGTCATGGGATTGTATTAGTCTAGACTTAATAGTCTCTGGATAGAGATCCTGATACATCCTTTAACAAAATTTTAGAATGTTATCTGTTACCATATTAGGGTTATCAAATAATTAAAACCATTATTACATCTGAATGTCAAGGGTTATATTAATGAAGTTTTAAGCCAACAGGATTTGTTATTATTCAGTTTCTTAGAATCTCAGAGATATATGGAAATTTGTTGTATTCCATTGTCTTACTCAAGAGCCTTTGAGATTGTGTAGGTTTATGAGCTGGACTCCTTATATTTCTGAAACATTCAGTAATGATAAGTGTGTGTTGACTATGCAGATGAAGCGAAAGTTCTACATTTAACTAAGTCTTCTAGTTCTCTTTATGTTGTTATGTCACATCATACTTTAGCCTTTAAAAATGGATCCCATTGGTTAAAAAAAGAGACACAGACATTAGGATCTGTGTTTCCCACTACTAGAAAAAAACTTCAAATAATGTTTCTTAATTATAATCTCTGCGTAAGAAAAATATTCCCCCTGCCGCCCAAAAATATTTTTCCTACAGATATTTTGGATGATTTAAAACCGTTGAACCTATTGGCAGCACTCTTAAGATGCAGAAGATAATCTTGATTCTTACAAGTAGAAAAGGATTGGGCAAGTGGATTTTAATGCTACTCCTCTAAAAATCAAAATGAGATTTTTCATAGTAATCTCTTGGGGTTGCCCACCTTCCTGATGCAGTAATGAGTACTCCTTTTAGTAAAACTAGATGATAATTAAGTACACCTTCATATTAAATGACTTGGAAGGATTTTTACTCACAGCATGACCTGTGTATTTGGCAGTGATAACTTCTTGGTACTATCATTGTAATTGCGAATTTCATGGAGTGCATAAAGCCATGGAAAAAGAATACCATTTTCATCCTCCAGAATAGTTGTTTACTTGCTACCTTATCTAGCCCTTGACTATGGAAGATCGTAATTTTTCTGCCTTAATGTACCAGAAAGAGAAAGCAATAAACTTTTTATTAGGGTACTTCTAAAGCTGCCATGGGGGGAATGTTAAGTACTCTTTCAGTTTTTTGAAGGAAATTGCATATCACACCAAATGTAAGCATGAAAAGAAAGTTACAATAAAATATAAAATTTAACTGGTTAATGTCAGTATATACTTATAGTGTGTGGATAAATTTGGTGGTGATACTTCTACTTCAAAATCAGAGTGTTGATCTGCTTTTCACCCCTCTAATACTGTGGTAAAGATACTCCCACTGCTGCAGTAGACTCCTGACTTGGACTTAAATTTCATCCTTTAGTTGCCGCCTGTGGGATATTTTTCAGCCGTAAACTTGGTGTCATTTTTAGCTAAAACCCTTCGATTTCTTCTCTTGCCTAAATATTAGTCAAGATGAACAACATGAGCCAGTTTTTACCTTTGTGCTTTCCCCACTTACCCACCCCTTGTTCACTTACCTATCTTAAAATCTTACACCCTAGCAAAAATTCTAAATTCTTTTTATGTCCTCATTGAATGTAGCACATTCTTTCAGGCTAGCAACTCATTCCATTTAAATGTCTTTCTTTGCCAGAATAAATGTTTATCAATTTGCATTGTGTATGGCATACATACATAGGTATGAAATAAATGCTCCTTGAATGTATAATGAAAGCATGATATAATTGTATATGTATAGAGGTTTGATTTAGCATAAGCCTTTTTTTTTTTTTTTTTTTTTTTGTGGCTGCTGCTAAAACATAATACAGTCTAAGCTCCCTTAAAATGTGCTGAAGAGACGTCGGATTGCAGTGAACAGAAGAGTTAGATCATTAATTTTTTTTTTTATATGTGGCTCATGTTACTCTTGTGCAGTTCCATGTTTTTAAGAGTAAATATATTTAAAAGGAGAGGGACCAGAAGCTTGATGTCGGAAATAGTGTCATGTGAATAGTTGGAATGTTTGCTGTAGAGCAGTGATGACTGAGATGGGTCCTTGCGAGCAGTCCTCAAGTATTTTAAGGGGTTTCCCTTAAAAGAGGAAATAGAGAGTTACAATTCAAATTATATATAAGGATCAGGATGGACATTTGATGTTACTTTGTCCAGCCTTATCATTTTAACATGTTCTGTATTTAGAGGACAACCAGAGCCAGTAGATAAAAGTCATAGATACATAGACTTTTATTGATTGACTCAGTGAGCTAATATTTGACATGTACGTACTTAAAAAGAGTAGTTAGCTTGTAAATAGCAAGTTTTCTGCTTGTAAAAGTATTGAGAATCTGGAAGTCTTTGTCAGGAATCTGTGTTATCTGAAGCTGAAGTTTTTTCCTAGTTCTCTGGATTACTTAATTGAAGTTTAAGAGCTACCTTTTACTCTCAGGTGCTTGCTTTATTGTGTGTTACCATCTGAGGGTACCAGTCAGTGATAATTAAAAAGAAATGCTGCATATTGCCACTTTTTTTTCAATGTTGCAATAGGAATGAATTTAGTTTGTTTTGTTGTTTGTTTTTGTAAGACTTATGCCATATTCTTTACGATATATATCAGATCTTTGGATGGCAAATAATTTGTTACTAGTTGTAAGATGATCCAAATCAGTTACTTGGAATTTTTATGAAGTAGAATATTTTTATTCCCGTTACTGGGACCATGACAGTATCAAATTATGAGTCGATTATTGCTAAAAATGAAAAGGCCTAAATGCAAACATTAGTAGCACTGATGTATATCTGACTGTCTGATCCAGAAGTGGGATAAGACTAGAAGGGCATCCTTTAACTATTTTTTCTGTGTTCTAGGTTTTAACCATCTCTTTTTAAGTGATTCACAAGAGTCAAGGCATTCCTATTTGTGAACGTAAGATTGTATCAGAAAACAGAGTACAGAGTCTATGAAGTCCTATGAATCTTCTAAAAAAAAAAAAAAAATGGAACCAGAAAAATCAAGCAGCAGTTCACCTTTCTGCCTTTAGAACGGTCTAGCTATAGTAAACTATTTTTGTTCGAACATAGTATGAGTAGTTATAGACACATAAGACCTTTGGATTCATACACTAAGCATAACCTAGTTTTTCTTTTGTATAAATTTTTTAAAGGCTCAAGTAAAAAGAAATCCTGCTTTTAGACTATAAACATCTAACTTTGGTTTTATAATTTTAATGTAACACTACAAGTAAATAGCAATTTAGAGTATAGATATTACTACAGTTTAAATAGACCTAGAAATATAGTTAATAGGTCTCTTATATTAACTATTTTAATTGTCAATACAAAGCACATTTTTAGAATTTAATTTGAAATACGATTTTAGGATCAGGGAAAATTTTGGTCTAATTGCTCTCAAATATTTAAAATTTTTGAATAAATAATTGTAAAGGTTTAATGAATTTTAAGAGGTGTTTAATCTTTTAAATAGCGCTGGTTGGTTTAAGTATACTGTATTAGCACTACCCCTGAGAGGCTTCAAGCATAGGCAGAATAGAAAGAAAAAGGGCCTAAATATTTTTCTTTTTGAAATGTAAAATTTAAATGAACTTTCTGGGTTAGCACATCTCAATGTGGAGATCACATTTACATATGAACCCTTATGGTTAACATTGGAGAGGCTATTTCCTACTTTGGTAGAAGGTTAATTTGTATTCTTTCCCACTGTTAAGATAACTACAGTAACTTGAGTTCATCACCAAAAACAAACTTAGGCTTGTGGCATAGGCTAATGGGGCTCTGCTGGGTATTTGGCAAAATTGAGTATACACATCTTTCTAGCCTTTGTCTAAACCAGCCCTCAGCCTCTCACCTTTCGTTTATTCACTGAAAAAGTATGCCTGGCAATGGGTGTAAAGGTGAATAAAACATTCTCGGTGTTGGGGATCCAGAACATAGTATGATGATTATCTATAAAGTGTTAGTAGTTCTGGAAAAATACATTTGGATGGCAAAACCAAATACCTATGGACAGCTTTTGGAATTAAACTAGGTGATGAACCTCCAAATATCAAATGGGGAAAACCATCAACCTGCTTGGTATTGGTTTCTATGTGAGAAGGAAGAGTTGGGGTAGGGTCTGGCAGACTTGAGAAAAGGAGAATCTCAACGTTTATTTATTTTTGGGACAGAGAGAGACAGAGCATGAACGGGGGAGGGGCAGAGAGAGAGGGAGACACAGAATCGGAAACAGGCTCCAGGCTCTGAGCCATCAGCCCAGAGCCCGACGCGGGACTCGAACTCACGGACCGCGAGATCGTGACCTGGCTGAAGTCGGACACTTAACCGACTGTGCCACCCAGGCGCCCCAGAGAAAAGGAGAATCTCAAATTACTCAACTGAAACTTGGATTTTGTCCTCTCCATAGTGAGTGCAAGGTACCCAAAGGAAGGATTGGAGAGACTGGGACAATTTTCCCCAGTGAACTCTCAAAACAAGACTCCCTTTTAAGGACAGGACTGGACCCCACACTGAGAAGAAAGTAGCAAAAGTATAATCATTGAGTGTAGAGACCATAGGAGAGGGCTTAGATCAAACTGGGGGGGGGGGGAACACAATCAGGAAAATCTTAGAAAGCAAGCCACCATATTTCTGAACATTACTCAAAAACAACAGAAAAGGTAACTGAAGTCAAAAAAGCTTTCCTGAATCTTGTATCATTCTAAAAGGCCAAGAAAGTAATTTCATGTAAACATGAGCAATTGAAAAATACTGTCAAATCTCAAAAGGTTATCAAGATGTGGTATGTATGAGTGCTTTCGTAAACAAAATGGAGGAAAGATCTCTGAAGAACGTTAGGGGTAAGTTGTCAGCAAAACATTCATGGAGGGTGTAGCGTGCATGGTGAAGGTAGCTTTAGTGATGGTTCCTATTCTAATATTCTCCAAGGAAGTGTTGGTCTGGCTGTAATGTGTGCTGATTGATATCAGAGTGGAAAGGGAGGTGGCTACAAGATCATGATTTATATACTTATGAGGGCAAAAGGAAAGGACAAGGTACTTGAAGAAATTGTGACACTGATTCCAAGTAAGGTGGCTGACCCATTTGCCTTCACTTATTCCTTGTCCAACAGCCTCTTCTGCCTTTTCATCCTTAACCTAGTGTGGACTACTGGGATATTCTGCCAGTTACTTAGTTACAGATCATTCCTGATGTCTGTTTTCTTTTGTCCCATATCCAGTTATCTTACTCAAGTATTGATTGTTCGTTGTATATAATAGACACTTTCTAAGAATTTTTAAATTTTATTTTTTTAAAGTAAGCTCTACACCCAATGCGTCTGAACTCCTGACCCCTCATGAGATCAAGAGTTGCATGCTCCACCAACTGAGCCAGACAGGCGCCCCATATACTAGGCACTTACCTAAAGCACTAGAGAAGCAGCATGGTTCAAGCCAGAAGTACCTGTTCTAGAGATTACATTCTAGCTTGGCGATAGCGGTAGCATGAATATACGTGGTGATAAGTGCTATAAAGAAAAGAGTGGAAAGAGATGGGGTTTAAAAATGCTCAGGGATAGCCTCTCTGATGTCTCTACTAGAATGTAATCTGCAGGAGGGTGAGGACCTTACTGGTCTTGCCCATTACTGCATTTCCCATGCTTAGAATAGTGCCTGGCACGTAACACTCAGTATTGAATGAGTAAATGTGGACCATAGAGAAATTAGTTCAAAATACCCCATTTTTAAAAATTTTATTTTAATGTAGGTCAGCAGCAGGCACAGTTGATCTTAAATTGTCATGTCATTCCAGTGCATCCTTGGCTGAAGTAGGAATAAAGATGTTGCTCTGTCTTACGAAGCCAGTAAAACCCAGACCAGAATTAAAAATGGGTATCACTTGATAGGATTTAGTCCTTACTTAACAATACTCGGCCAGGTTAACGTCCGGTCCGTATTTGATAGCCTGGACAACCAGGAGCGTTTGGTGAGTGAACATTGTAAGTACTGCAAAGGTGCACATCCCTCGAAGACTGCTTAGGTTCTGCTAATCCCATAAGCAGATAATGTTTGAATGAAATGATCAGACAACAAATAGCGACTTCAAGTGAAGAGGAGAGCGCGGCCCCGCCTAGCGTCTGGGTGTATAGAGGACGACACTGCGAAAAGGGACGAATTCCGGATCGCGGGCCTGGCTCAAGACCCTTAATACTTTGATGACACCGTGTAGTAGACACCAGTAGTTTAGCATGGAGGAACCTAAGGACGCGTCAGAAGCTTGCGTCACCATCTTCGCACCCCCCCCCCCGTTCCACCTGCTGTGTCTAGGCTTCTATTGGTTGCCTCGCGGAAGGCCCGCCCCCTAGAGGAAGAAGGAAATATTCCAGTAGCCGGCCCAAATAACCGTAACTAGCCTGACGTCATAGCGCAGCCAATCAGAAGCACATATGTTTAGGCTTGTCCAATAAGCTCGGATACTGGCTTGGCCCGCGGAGTTTGATTTTCGTTCAGGGACGCGGAAGTTGTGCCCGGCCTCGGGGCGAGCCGCAAGGTGGGTGGGAGACCGGAGGTAAGGGCCAAGCATCCTGCGGAGTTACCCAGGTTGAGGGAAGGGGTTTGCATGTCCAGCCCCGGGTCGGTGGGGGGCGTCGTTACCGTCTGTGGCTTGCAAACCGAGGCGCGCGGGCGGACACGAGTCGACGTCCGAGCGCTCCTGTGCCAGGACGGGCGCACGTAGGGCGTCCCTGACTGCGGATTCGAGGCAGCGTTTCTTAAGGACCGCAGCTTGGTGTCCCGGTGGTTGCTCGCATGCTCGGCTTCGGAGGAAGGTGAGCAAGGCGATCATTCTGGGTTTGGAGAGCCCCTGAGGAAGCTTGCGGCCAAGGCGACTGACACCACCGGCTCTAGTCTCGGCCTGTTACTTAGTTGGGTGACTGAGTCACGTCGCGTATCTGGGGTCCAAATTCTTGTCTTTAAAATGAGCGAGGAGGATGGATGGTACCCTATTCGTTTGTGAGGAAGAGCCGCTGTTCATTTGTTAAAGCGTTGGGTCGGCCCCCTGCCTGCCTTCAGGAGCTGAACTCATCCCTCTCCTCAACCCAGAGCTTCCAGGAGAGCGGGGACTTCGCTGTCGCAGCTAACCTAAAGGCTTCCCTGTTAAGTGTCCAATTTATTGTTGGTTGATATTTATTAAGGCTGAAACATCTTATGAACTTTTAGTGCAATTTAACTGATAAATTGAAATTTCCTTTATCAGCCCTTCCCCACGTCTTCATTCCTCTCTCTCTTTGACTTCCTTCAAAATACTGCTGGCCAAAAGAGATCAGTTGATGGTGTAATGTGAAACGAAAGGATTCCTCCAGGTTACTTAATACAGTTTTGTGGCAATCGTGTTTTTTGTTTTTTGTTTTTTGTTTTTTTGGTCAAGAGTAATATTTTCTAAATTGTTTTTCCGGAAGGTATCAAGAAACTGATAATGTTTCCTTGAATTCGCTAATGTATTTGTTTCATCAATGTCACTCATACTGAATATCTTAAGAGAGATGCTGGAATATTTTGGTGTTCCCATAGACCAGGTAAATGTTTTTTAATGGATTTGAATGAACCTGTTGTATTTGTTGCTGGGTCTTACTTTGAAAATGATCTATATATATGTAAACATTTAATTTAAGGCAAGATTGTTACTTTTCAGGTGTAACAAAGCTGAGTTTGCAATAGTGTACCTTAGGTAGTTTGCGTTAAAAAAAGGGATAAAATTAAGGGCGCCTGGCTGGCTCAGTCGGAAGAGCATGTGACTCTTGATCTCCAGGTTGTAAGTTGTGAGTTAAGCCCCAAGTTGGGTGTAGAGTTTACTTAAAAAAAAAAAAAAAGGGTGG